GTCTGACGCGGATTTGAAGATTGGCACACACACAGTAGTCGTGTCGACTGGGTCATCATAAGATTTGTGTCGCGGAGACCAGTATGTGCTGAGAAATCCCGGTCTGATTTTTGCTAGCAGGCGAGGTCGGTCGCTGGGTGGGGAACTGTGCTGTCACACGCGGCGTGTAGATCGGGTGGCTTTCAAACTTGGCAAGAGTTGTGTCTACTGGTGCTTGTTGGCCCTCTGAGTTTGGTGGACATGCGTCCGCAGGCTGGGGAGTTCTCCATACGAAACAAAAAAGGGTACACCTGCCGTGGGTGGCGGAAAAGCAGCTGGATTTGGCCGAATCGCTGTTTGTAGCCGTGCTCGCTCTGCGAGCCACCAGCGTTCCCGAGACTAAGGGGCATGCCTATTCTGTCCTAGCGCATCGAGCCGCGGCTAGCGTGGGGCGGGCTACATCTAGCTAGGTTGTGGAGAACGTCGTGGGGAAAACAATCGCGGACTCGCCTCCAGGCGCGCGGCGCGTGTGAGCAGGTTGTCAATTGTACTTTTGGAATGCTTTGCCTGTGATGTGAGGTGAAACACTCGGTGAGTTAGCGAGGGCAGGTGTATGCTAAGGCAGAGCCGGGAAGTTTGTGATGGTAGCTTTATTGAGCTCATAGGTTTCAGCCGATAAAAAAACGTAAGACACTACCAATACGTCAAAAGGATGCTGATGTGGGAGAAGTTAGACACAATGCGTTTGGCACCGGTGACACTTCGATTGAAATTCCTTGGACAGGGCCGTCGGGGCGAAGGTTGTGCAAAGGAAATTGAGCCCGGTCGGAAAAGCGCCGACAAAAAATTCTCGTAAGTTCTCTGTTTCGGGATCAGAAACCAATCCATTCGGATTGGAAAAAGGAAGGGCAATGAGGCAGACAGCGACAGAATCTGCACCAGCACGAGCTATTAGAGCCATACCGGTGTCCCATCTCTCACATTGCAAAATACTTAAATGGCATATGCATACCCGCTTCGTTCATCGGTTTGGACTTCTCGCGGGCGTGTGTGGTGTAGACGTGCATGACCGGAGCTCGGCAGGCATCCGTGCCGCGTATGCTCGACGCATCAAGTCGCGAAAACTGGCTCTATTCCGCGGGGATACGTTCCGCGACGACAAAGTCTGGCCAACAAACATTGAAACCTATCAAAGACAAGAGAAAGAAGTAATGGCCCTCCACCACGGACAACTAACCGGGAAAAGCTTATCACACGGCAGATGTCCTCTCAAAAAGCTTGCGCCATCGCCACTGTTTTTGGTATATTGGGCTGAAAATTAGCTGCCACCGGGAGTTGCAGGTGATGTACCGAGATAAAAATGTCACCTCCACACTCATTCATTCGTTGATGATTCCATCGTTGACTCCCGTGCCATTGCAAGGTCAAACAGTACATTTTGTCCTTTTACAATTCGCAGCGGGCACAGCGATACGCTGCTGTAGACAAAGGTATGAGCGCATGCAGACAGTGTTGATCATGTTTGCGTTTGTGGTGTTATTTCGAACTTGACCTCGGTTCTCAACATGGAAATCTGGAATCTCCCACGGTCGCCGCTACGTTTGTAAGCTGTGTGGCGATGCCAAGTGTGTGCGGGTTGAGTTTTGAGATGAGACGAAATAAGTGTACGTGAAAAGTTGTGCTCATTGTTCAAATGTCGGCGACGCACAATGAATTGACGAAGTATGCGACGGCCGGAGGACATAGGGTAAAACACGCAGACGTGGCAAGAAACAACGCCGCAGGAAGAACAACGTGTACATAGCTGTAGAGGACCATGCACCAAAACTTACGTGTATGTGCCCCAACACAAATGGAAAACGTGCAGTCTACGTTTGAGGATAAAAAATAATATTCTGCGTAGACTACATCTTGCGCATTATCCCAGCACGTATTGTACCAGAGCATGTACGTATTATGTATGTATAATTCGAAGTGGTTAAATTAATGTGTGTGCCGTATCACACCGCTTTTTTTGGCTGGTGAATGTTGCTGGAAAAGGTGCCAAATATTTCTGCAACTTTGCTCGGGCACTTTGTCAGGAGCACTTTTGGTGCACGCTCATTATGGGACGAAGAAAGTCTTGTGCACGGGACTGACGGAATGCGGAGGCGTGATCCTTTTCTTTTTAGCAACGGCGAGAAGAAGGCACACGCCTTTCATATTGCACCGCGAAAAAAACGGTCTGAGCGTGCGGGAGAGGGTAGATGCAACCTTTTTTCTCCACACTCACGATACTCCAAGCCATCTAAACTGGTACCAGAAAGATGCTGGGTAGAGCTCGCTCCCTCGGGGTGGCATTGCTGTTGCTGTTGCCTCCTCCTCCAAAAAGTTATCGCTGGAAAATCAAACCATGAGCACACGATCCCTGCGAACTTCAACCTACCGCTCTCTAACGTGGGTACTTTAGGGTCAATCAAAACGTTTTTCCCGACGCGCACGATACCCGAAGGCACCAAAACTTGGGCATGAAAGATGGAGCAGAGATCTACCTTCCGCCCAGTGGCCTTGCTATTGCTATTGCTTCCTCCTTCGGGAAGTTATCGGTGGATAACCGATCCCGTGGCGGTCGAAAACATCGAACTTGAAGTGACCGCTCGCGGTCGTTGACGGTCGTGCACAGCACAAACTTTTTTCCCGGCACATTCGGCACCTCAAGGCCCCAAACCTTGGCATTGCCCAACAGCCCATGGCATCACCTCCTCCCAGATACCATTCATGAGGCAACTCGTTAAGTATTCGTAGAGATATCGGTGATCACACCCTTCCCACAATCGAAGCTGGAGAGGGTCCACGTGTGCGGTAGGGTAGCAGCTTGACGTGGGTTGGCGGAAGTTGCGGCGTGCAACTTTTCTTCGACACCCTTCGCGAAAAAGTTGCAGAACTTTTCGTGCCACTTTTGGCTCCCATACTGAACGTACATTAGCAAAGCTGCAAGAAAAGTTGCAGAACTTGAACTCTTCTTGCAACATTTTGTAGCCAGAAAAAGCAGTGGCAGGAGGGCAAAAAAAGAAGAGGACCCAAAGGAGTACTGCTATAATCTCCGCCAGAAGGTTTTCGGGATCAGATGATTCTAGAATATTGTGCGTTGGTGGAGTGTACGGAGCCTGGCTAGCCCTCAAACCACACTACCATGGTATGTAGCCAAAGGATTTTCCCCAAAAAACAAAGAGACCAAGTATGAGACATCCTGTCAACTATGAGACTCGCTCTCCAGGTTCACGCGGCGGCTAAAGTTCCTTTCGGGGCGTGTGGAGACACACCAGGTTCACGCGAGAGAGGTTGAAGAGATACATGGAACGGGTTGTGAGAACGCGGGATCAGCGGGTCCATCGGTGCCCACACCCCGAAGGTATATCTCCGACAGGTCTTCTGACGTCACAATCTACCAGACATCTGCAGTTATGATTTTTCGGGCGAGTGTAGTTTCCAGACTGCTGGGTGCACGACACCGGCCGCAACCCACCCCGCTCTTCGTCGGCATGGTAAGGGAGACGCACTGCAGTATGGTGCTTTGCTTGGTTGTCGCGAGTGGCGAGGGTGCGTCGACAGCGCACAGACTCACCACGTCAGCCGCTTGGTCGAGTCACGGTAGAGCTCCGTGACACGATTTTCTGCCCTCGCTAGCGCGCGACGTCCGCCCCGAGAGCGCGCGGCATAGCGGGAGGGCCCTCGCAAGTCAGCGTTATCGGCAGATGCAAGGCTCGCCAAGGGCGAGGTCTTGGGGCGGAGAACCCACAAAAAAAGAGCTCTATAGCAATGGCAGAGGCAGGATTGGCAATATGCTGCAATCTCGTGAGCCTTCAGTCCACAGGAAATCTGTCTATAGGTTGATTTCACAAACCATTTCCTCTGAGACAAAAAATGTTCTCATGATTTTCAAAAGTACTATTTTCAAAAATAAGTATCGCAATCGGACGGATGTTTGAAAAACATGTACTTTGAAGCAAAAGAAACTGAAATTTTGAGCCGTTCGGCGAATGAAACAAAGGTCGTTATTGCATTTGCCTCCACCAACGGGGTAAGGGAACTGTTTCGCTACCCAAACCTAGCAGGGGGAGAGGGCTGTTGCACGCGATGCCACAGGTGAATAATCACCACAGGGGGCAATGGTAAAAGAAGAACCGTCTAGTTCCGTGTCGTTTAGGTTTGAGCGCCAACAAAACATGTTCTGGGATCACCAACATTTGCACTGCAGGAAGGGTTATCTTTCACCCCCTCAAGTGTAGCATGTCCAAGACTCAACAGTGTACCAAGCTGCTCATCGCCACAAATAGACGACTAAAAAGTGGTCCTTGGTGTGAGACCTTACTCATTACTTCAGCAGGCATCCCAAAAGTACGAGTCGTCGGTCCGTTCTGAGTGTACACGACCTTCTATGGCGACTGAAGTGCAGGTTGTAATGTTGCGTGCTCACCCCACGTGGGCTGCCGAGAAGGAAGCAAGATTGGGGCATCTGACTTGGCATCACACGAAAAGCCGCCGATGCCGTGAACAGCAAATTCAAAAGAGGAACATACTCCCCGATTTGGCATTCATGGAATATGCTTGCTTGGACATGGAGGTTTGTGCCCCGACCACTAACACAGCAAAGCAAGCACGCGTAGAACATACGACACACGCAGCACTTTGTCCTGTGTACTCTGCATTAAAAACATGATGGATTTGAACTCGTTTGTTTTCGGTGCACGCAGAATATTTCGCTAAAGGCTGAAGTTCACAATGTCGCTCGCTCTGTTGGTGCGCTCGCTCAATCCCATCTCTTCTGCCCACACGACCGTCTCGTCTGCCACATACCGCACCCATCCATCACGCGTTTTAGTTTTCTGCTCTTGTCACGCATGATGGGCATCATTTTTTCTTTCACACACGCCTGCATGCGGATGGAGGTGTGACCATTGAATTTGCATAAAACCGCTCCATTGTACCCTCATTGTAACAAGTGATTCGCGACATGTTTTTCTCTCAATAAAAAAACTCACCTCTTTGAAGTTGCGGCCGAAGACATCCCCTCCTGGTTGTCGGTCATCAGGGTACGACTTCAACGACGGAGGTTCTCTTTCAATCGTTTGCATCAACACCTGATAAACATGGGGTGGAAATCCGATGGGCAATGCACCAGTAAGAACAGCAACGCGACACAACACCGGTTTTACCAAGGTGGACATGCGCATGATAGTCTTCTTGGTCACCAACCATGTGTGCAATAAGGTCGCAGTCAACCTGTGACTACTGTATGTAGTGGTTGCCACGCGCAATCAAGTAAGGCGTGTACAATCAATCCTCGCAGTTGGCCCAATCGACGACTAGTAAGCGCCATGATTACCCGTCAGGTGTGTGTGGTGTACTCGCTCGTGCGCGGCAATTTTTCATCTACACTGACTTGCTCACGCATACACACAAGCAAACACACAAGGATCCCCGGTAATTCGTAGCAAACCATGTGCGTACAACAAAGTCCGCGTGACTATTATCAACCAAGATTTGCGGAATTGCGGACTGTGCAATTCTCTGTCTTGCCAATTGTGTGGTAGTTCGCAGTCAACCATGCGTACGATGAAATCCGCGTGGTGATAATTATCAACCATCCTGCTTGTGCACACGCGGCATACAGCGGACTGCGCAGAAATGCAGATGCAAGAAACATGTCGCCGATACTAGCACTGAAGAAGGAACACGGTTGCTGCGCGCCGGCCTGGAAAGACATTAGCCGTTCCCGTCGCGAAGGAGCGGAATGAGGCGGGGTTCCCTCGTGCGCGTGGTGAAGGGTCAGAGTTAACATCGTGATCTACGAGGCCCCGAGTCCCCCCGCTTGCGCGTGAGCACCCCGTGAAAATCACCCGAAACGTTAGTTACCTCTACAAGGACCTCCGGACCGGCGGGAGTTCGGCCCCCCCGTCCTCATGATTAGGCTCGAAACATCCGCTCTCAAGTCGATGATGTTCAAAAGGTTAGGTTGAGTACGCGCGAGTCACACATGCCTACCAAGGGGACGAAGCTCGGATATAGTTTCCGACTGACTTAGAGGTTGCGACATGACGGAATTCGTAGTCCTGTGCTTTCCAGCTTCTGTAGTTCCATACATTCAACCATTTTCTTCCGCAACATTTGGTCGATTACAAATTCTCTATCCAGTTGGGATGCCAACTTAAACGATTGTCACCCCCAATTTCCACGGAGGTCGCAAGAAGTGCCAGTAAATGGTTGAATGTGGCCGCCAACCCTCTAGTAAAGTGGTCGACCGTCGGGAACCTCTTCTATACTGAACTAAACTCTGAACGCTTTTCAGCGAAATAGTCGATGCAGACTCTGCCGGCCCTTAGTTCGTGCACACTGCACACAAACTTGGAAGAGAGCAAGAGCTTCGAGCCAGATGACCTGCCTCACAACAAACGCCGCAGGGCTAGAAAGGGTCTGCCAAAACAAGTTGGGAATATTCGCGACGAGAGTGGCGGTAGTAAATGCAGGGGGCATGATGAAGGAAATCCGAAACGAACGCGCGTCCAAAGTAGTAGCAGCCATGGGTACACATGTGCAGTTTTCTTCTCTTCTTGCTACGGTATCAATCTTCAACCCGGAGAGGAGCAAAGCCTCCCCCATGACACTCGGTCACAGGGTCCCAGATTGTGACCTTTAGGAGCATTTTGTGTTTTCAACCGCCCTGAGACTGACGTCTTTTCATTGGAAAGCCGGTTAGCGCGATTCATGCTCAGCAAGTGGTAATCCTCTCGTACCTCCGTCCACACAGCTCGAATGAACCCCACACCTTTTGCATCGTGTTCCAACGATATATACCTTTCATGCAAGCTATCGGACACCCCAATTCGATATGTTCGTGCAGGGATGTGGTCAACAGAGCTAGGGGGTTCCGCAGCATCTAGCGGGGGGGGTGTACTCAAAGTCGTGCATGTCGTAGTCCTAAGACCATGACCCCGCATCCCTACAAGCCGAGACGGAGCACGCCGGGTTCTCACCGAACCACGCTCTCATATCACCAAGCGCCAAGCGCCGTGAGGTATTCGGCGAGTCGCAGAAAGGGTGCGCTGCATTCTGCTTAGGATGTTCGGCATCTTGTGCTTGCGTCCGGGTATCAGCTGCGTATGACTTTTATTTTCCGGTGCTTGTACTTCCATAGACAGTTGTAAGCACCGTGTAACTGCCTCGAGGGTGCTTGGCCACGTTAACGCAACGTGTTGCAATTATCCCCTTTGCGTGAGGTGAGAGTTCTCGACCCCGCACAACATAATCTACTCGACCACCATGCATGGTTACCCCAAAAAGAAACACAGGGCTGGGGGCGTGATCAGGTGATAAGAGGTCAAGTAGGTCTGCGAGAACGGCCGAAGTATGGCGCGCGTCGATGGTCGATGCTGTCAATCATTTGGTTCGGGACCTCTCGACCAATTCATTTCGTGGGTTATGCAAACTTTGTGTTCAAAGAATACGTCCCATACAACCAAGACGCGCGCCACCAATCAATCCTGCATCCGGTGCGGCAATAGTCGATAAATTCACTTGTTTTTCATGGAAGTAATTTGACGATAGTAACGCGTGTGAACATGTACTTCTGAAGTACAAGGACTGCAGAAAGAAGAAGAAAAAATGACCCGAGAAGCGAAGAAAGGAGAGATGTACGAATAATGTGGCCATGGGGACAAACAGAACGAAGAAATCAATATTTTGTGTGTTTGGACTAACTACACCTGCAAGACATATAATCCAGACTATGTGCAACATCTCTGGACTACATGTGTGCACTCAAACAACAACAGAACTAAGCTCTGTACATCCGGCGAAATATACGAAAACAAGAGCAACACGTTAGGACTCGAGCCCGGGTGTGGTTGCTGGAGCGACCGACGCCCAAACACAACTCCACTGTGAGAATTTCGTACGGGGAGTTAAAACACACGTCAAAGTAACAAATTGAAGAATATTGTAATTTCAGGGCAAGTGTACCGTAGTTTGCCGATTGATGTGCTCAGCCCACGACGGCGGCCGCAACTCCCCCTTGCTTTCGTTGTGATAGACAGGAACACGCTAGACTATATTCAGATGTTTTGCCTCGTGTCATGCGGAGATTTTATCGCCGTATGCATGCGCGAAAAGGAAGATACATTCGTTGCTGTCGTGTACTGCTGTCTGCAGTATCAAGTTTGCTGCTGCTGTAGATACGCCGTGCGTGCTACATACCAATGTTGCGCTAACCCTTATTGGCTTGCGGTACATCTGCAAGTACGGACGATGTGTGCTGCTCGTCTATGCTCTATGCCGTCAATCAGTTGCTAAGTGCGGCGGCCTTCAACAGTCGGTTGCGCGTGAGTGAACATGAGTGTTTCACCAGAACAAAAAATCTGTGGCTGTGGCGTACCGCTGCGTAGTGTGGATACGTGCGTGCTACCTGCACTACCCCTAGTTGGCTTGCTATACGTGCACAAGTACGGCCGACGTGTACTACGCGTCGTATGATCGATGCTGTCATCGTTTGCGACGGGTGTCGGCCTTTATCATGAACGGTTGCGTGTGGTAGATTGTGTATGTTTGGCAGGAAAAGTATTTGGTGTGTGAATTTTTCTACAAAAGAACGAGGGCACCCTATTTTCTACTAAACCGACGACCATATCTGTCTGTAATACTGTAGGTGGCACGGGATACCATATCCACAAAAGATACCACAACCCTAACGAAAATGTACCGAAAACCACAACCATGTGATATTTTTTTAAACCTTGAACAAAGCACCGATAGACATATCACACGGTCACGGTCACATAAGACATCACACCCCATAAGTTGAGCCGCAAATACATATCACGAAGCCCCCTAGCACACCCGGGTGGAAGGCTGTGATCACGCACAAAGCGCACGCAACCCTGCGCGAGCGCTGTGCATATGGCGACTGACAACATCGCGAAGATGAACGACACGACACTGCTAAAGCATCGCGGCTCAGACTATTAAGTGAGTCAGACTCCAGCGGCGGCGCCACGCTCAATTACGTCATTTTTTTCTGCGGCCCCTGAGACACCCGCAGCACCCGCTGTGCCTACCATCGCCCGTGCTGCTGAGGCCCGCGCAGCAGACCACACTGCTGACACTCCCGCAACAACACTTGCTGTGCCTGGCGCCGCCCGTGCTGCTGAGGCCCGCACAACCTCACGGGCAACCGAGAAGCCTACACCCCCTTGCTATCACACCCCGTGTAGGTAGGAGCGTGTGGGCGCACTTCATCCCACGGGCAACACTATCACAACCCATCTTTGTCACACGCCCTTGTTACCACACCCCCTGCGGGGTGGAGGCCTGTGAGTGCAGTTAATCACACTGGTCACACAAGATATCACAACCCCTACAGAATACCACCACCCGTGCGATAACTATTGGACCTCGAAAAAATGTATCACACCAGTGTGGTATCTTGTGTCACGTACGGTGTACAAACGTGATCCGAAAGAAGGCAGAGCCGAAGCCACTAAGCGCAGAAACACGCGTGACGACACATCTTCTTGTAGTCGCCACATGAAGGGCTGAAGCTCCAGACTACAAAAAGGGCCCGCACTTAAGAACCTCATATTTTGGCCGATGTTCGTCCCTTACACTATCTATATGGGATATCCCTTTGTAGGGTCAATGACTGAGCACCCGTTCTAATGGCCAAGTTCTTCAGCCTGAATTTCTTAGCTCCCAAGTTCTTAATATCATGTGACTACATGCACGATAGCAGCACGATAACTTTGTGTGCCGAACGATCGCTGGCGTGCATCGCCTAAGAGAAAAAGAACATGCGCCGTAAAGGCCAGCAGAGAGACCAAGAGGCAGCCCACCACACAAGCACGCACATGAGCAATGTGCGCAAGGGTACACGCAGTACTGCCATGTCAAGTGTACAGCAGGTATGTCTCTCATGTGGGGACAGGTATGTCTTTTCTTTGCGGATCCAATCTACTACATACTGCTGTAAGAACCAAACGGAAAATACCACGGCAGGGTACACACAGCACCCTCAAGATGTGATCAACCCGGGGTCCCGCTTGCGCGATGGAGAGCGGAGATAACGCACACCGGGGCCGATGCCAACGTACTGCCTCGGTGCCTGATGTGGTCATGACTGCGGTGTGTGTGGTCCAGAATATTGGGAGTGAGAGGAGACTCGTGTGCTGTGCGCAGTTTTCGCTCAAGGGAAAGGGTTTTCGGGACTATATGCACGATAGCATGCATAACAATCCCTCTCTCTCTCTCTGGTACAGAATTGTATAAATTGCCGTGATTTTGATCCATTTTTTGCGATAGTGATACCGTGGGGTCGATTTGCTGAGAGGGCCGGAAAAAAAGAAGTCAAGTCAACCCAGTCACGTAAGGTGTGCGTGCCGCTTGTGTACACTTGGAGCTTGTTTTCTCTCCGATGGCTTTAGTTGCCACAATACCAACGTTACAAACTCTCATCCACACTACATCGATCTCTGTTTGCAGAGGGAAACCGAGGGGGGAAGATCTACAATCACTACCGACCACGGATTGGAGCTAGTATAGCTCCTGCAAGGCGGACATGCTTTCGGCGTCAACACTGATTTAATACCATACACGAACAAAAAAAACACACGCCCATTAATTGCAGGCAGTAGTTTAAATTGCTATTTAATGGCAGAAGACTTTAAAATCTTCAACAAAGTCTTGTCCAGTAGCTGGCGCGATTCTGTAGAAGCGACAGTAGCACCGTGAGGAGATTCGCCTGGTGCTGATGCGAAGTCATAAAAGCAAAGGTTGTCACGGTGCTGTAACTCGGCTCGCCCTTGGAGTTTCGAGCTCGTGACAATGTTGTTGTGATCCGAAGACTGGCACGATCAGGTCTGAGACGCCGAAGACATCCGAAAATAATGTTGTTACGCCATTTCAAACCGATTTAAACCGATCCACCGCCACACAAAGTCTAGCCCAATGACTGAAAAGTGGCTTGCATCACAGTGTTGTAACTCGACTCGCCTTTGGAGTCTCAAACTCGCGACAGGGGCGTCGCGATCGAGAGTCTGGCGAACTCCAGCGGGCCAAGACCGGCGAAAAACAAAGTCTAAAGGCGACTCACTGCAGACTGACGAAAAAAAACGTTTTGCTTCGTAGTAAAGCCTTCAAGTACTCCGGCCGCGGGGCATCAGACATGAGAATTTAATGACGTACGCCGCCTGCCAAGGGAGCAACAGCCGTTCGGTCATACCCACGTCCTCACACAAAACCTGTCGCATGCCATGGGATGGGGCCAGGAGCTGTTCAAATGGTTCGTTTTTGGGCGGGGGGAGGTGGAGGGGTGGGTGGAGTCGGTGTCTTCGGCGGTGGAGGGGGGGGTGGGGCCGAAACAGGTTGATGAGTGCCTCGTTGCAGCTTCGGTAAACGGGGCACAGAAGACTAAAATACGGCATGTATTTCCTGTGATGGCAGGAGAGGCACATTATTGACTCTCTGTTTCGGGCTAGAGCTGGCCATGAGCAAAGGGGAGGGTCTCAAGTATGTCGACACCGATTCGCAGATCGGAAAACCGAATGATGGACGGAGCATCTCCTAAGAACCTCGTGCACGATACTTGACAACTCCGCCGGTCGGTGTCCTTGTACCTTTTCAAATGGCACGGTACAAAGAAGCCTCGGTTGTCGTTCTACGAACTGCAGGTGGCGGCCGACGCAGTCCTTTGCCCGGGCAAGCCCTGGCAGCTATCGGCGATTCGGTGCACATTCGGTTCACAAATCTCAAACCCACCCTCAATAATCTATCTTCACATTGCACCAACCCCCCACGACTCATGACGTGCATTTGCTGGATCGTATGGCTCGCTTCGTGTTGCCTTGTGCAGTCTTATGTTGTTCTGTTTGTTGTTTGTCGCTGCGGCGTGTGTTTTTCTCTGGCTGTGCCTTTCTTTCTCTTTCCCTTTTCTCTCCATCCGCTTCTGTTTCTTTTTCTTTTCTTTTTCATTCTCTTTGTCCAGCCTAGCGTTACCTCGCATAGCGTGTAGAGGCGAGCGGAGTGGCCTAGACTATCTGTCGTTGACCTAATTTGACTTGCGATGCTTCGGGCCCATATTCATTTTCGCATGCCTTTCTTTTGGGTAAGTTAGCCTGTGACCGCGCGAATCGACCCCGTCAAGTGTTAGACTACGGACAGAAGAAGGTACTGGGCAGAGAGAACGGGACGGTTTTTAATGCGAAGACGATGACAACAACCCCCGAGATGCCGAACGAATGAACGTCGTTGTTAACCAACAAAGACGCACTGCTGCTTTTGTTGTCGAAAATGGCTGCAAAAATTTCAAGTGTTCCGCCATAACGTTCTGTTCAACCATCGTATACATGCGCACTTTTTTCGTCGAATACGAAAAAGTTTATTCTGACTCATTCACGTGGTGCATTTACGTACAGGAGCAGCCAAACGTTACAAATAGCGGCTGGGTATCGCCTTGAAATTCGTGCGTTTGTATGGTGCGTATTACAACTTACAGAGGGCTTCGTTGGATAGTGCTTAGCATTTTTCTGAAGACCAGGAGAAGATTGCACTTCATTGAACAACTGTCATAGTTTCCGGACTCCGGTCCACGAAGGAGAACTCATGTAGTAAAGCCCACGAGTTGAACGATTACAGATATTTACCAGTATTTATTTTTTGCCTCAACCTTTCCTCGGACACCATCAAAGTCCCAGTAAATGGGTGGATGTTCTCGTGGATGCTGCATGTGTCACCGTGTGATGCCTACACACTTAAGCACGAGTAGTGTCCGTATCGCATAACTCTTTTAGTGCGCACACACACATCGTATTGCGGTGCAAATGACAGCCTGGCTGAAACGCTGTGCGGGTAGGTGCGTACATATTCACCCACCCGCGGAGAATGAGTGGTGTCACGCGACGTTTTCCGCCGGAAGCTCGTCCATGAGAGGCGCAATTCTAATCAAATTGACAGTCAACCAGAGATTTTTCGGTAGGCGGCGAGAAGTGGCCAATTTGGGCGCATTTCGCGGTCGTGAAATACTCGAGGCGTACCATCGTTGAGCCCGGCGAGGTCGTGATGGAAACACTTTCCTGGTCCACACCGCGAAGAGAAGTCGATTGGAGTTCTTCCGCGGGCCAGGCGAAGACCTGGGGTTAACATATTGGATTGAGAGAGAATCTAATCTCCCCGCTTTGCTGTGAGCGCTCGAACTTCAGGGTTAACGTTCAAATAAACATTACAGTACTGGGCCCGCTATAGTGCCGGTAAAATCTCTGGACACAGAAAGCGCCCTCAATAGTGCCGAACCGGCACTTTTGAGGGCGGCCCCTCTATAGTGCCGATTGGGCACCACGGCGCCCCGCAATAGTGCCGGTTCACACACACACGCCAGCTGACACACATACACTCGAGTACTAGGTAATAGCCTTGGTAGACGGGTGCAGTTTTCTTCTATTGCTGCTGTTTCTGTTTTTGATCCGAAGGATAGTTTAGCCTCCCCCATGCTGCCCCCTCACGGGGTCCCAGTTCATGGTAGATAGAAGTGTTTTGTGTTTTCAACCTCACTAAGACTGACGTCTTTTCATTGGTCAGCCGGTTAGCGCGGTCGATGCGACTAATAACAAAACACACACACACAAGACAGCGGACACACGCAACACAGAGGGTACACGTGCTGCTGCAGACCCGAAGAGTTCTACGCAGAGGCGCACCATGCCTTGTGCGGAAGGTGAACTGTGCCTTCAACAAGACAGGACGCCGCAACCCCCTCATGGCCACCCCTGCAAGGGGGGATGTGGCGGGCGGCTCCACGGCAATTGCGGCAGCGTGTTTGAGGACAACGAGCAGCACCGCATCTGCAGCACGTGTGTCGCCAGGACTAGCAAGCGCAAAGCGACACCAGCTAAGGGTGTTGGGGCGGGACCATCTAAACGCCAGAAGCAGACGAGCGGGGGAAGCAAGAAGGGAACGGGTTCTCGTGCGCGGCTGGACAACAACAAGAAGCTCGAGATTCTGAAGATGCTGGATCAGAAGGTGTCTCACGCACAGATTGCAGACCGCTTCAAGTGCTCGCTTCGGTTTATTGGGACCGTGAAGGCTGGCCGGCAGAAGGTGGAGACAGCAACTGCTGCAGGCTGCGGCAGCCAGAAAACTGCACGCAAAGGAGATTTTCCGGAGGTGCGCTACATGCAATGCTGTGACGTTGGGTTATTTCCCCCGCGATTGTTTTTGCCGGCCTTCTTTTTTTCGAGCCTGGTTCGTTCGCTGCTGCATGTCCATTTTTTTGTCCGTCTTTCTTCCTCCTTTGGTTTGTTGTCTTTTTTCGGCTTTTTTCTTTCCTTTTTTTGGCTCTCGTTTTCTTCTTTCTCCGCTTTCATCGTTAATTCGTTCTTTGTGCTCTCGCACACACCCTCTTTTCAATTTTAAACCAGTAAATTACTACAACACGGCAGCGCTTCTTGTTTGTACCTGCCGCATTTTTGTCCAAGTGTACTTCACACTAGTGCACAATTGGGAACAATACTCGAACGTGTGAGCTTAGCGTAACAGGGTACGCTTCGTCCGCCTGCCCGCGCCGCGCAGTGCAGGTTAGCATGCTTACGTTCGAAACTAACCGTTCGATCTTTTGCACTCTCTGCGTTGTTTACTCGTTTTTTGGCGGCAGGTGGATGAGATAGCTCTTGATCTACTCGACAAAGCCCGGAAGGCCAAGATGCCCGTCACACGCCATGTCCTTCGAAGCTTCGGCCATTCTGCCAGGGCAACCCTGCTGGCTGACACCGCAACTTCTGCAGCACTGAGGGTGAGGGTCGAGGACTTCAAGGCCGGCAAGAGGTGGGCGAAGAACTTCGTGAAGCGCAACAAGATCCAGAGCGTGAGACTTTATGACGAGGCTGGTAGCGTCGACAAGGAGGCCATCAAGGAGCGCATGGACGGAATCAGGGCCCTTTGCGAGAAGTACCCAGCTAGGTTCATCTTCAACGTCGACGAGACAGGACTCCAGTGGAAGCTCATGCCCAGGCGCACGTACCTTTCCACCTCGGAGGATCGGAAGACGGCGCGGGGCTCAAAGAGCATGCACTTCAAGGACCGACTGTCTGCCATCATGTGCTGCAATGCCGACGGCACTGCGAAGGTTGACATGGCCATCATCGGGAGGGCAAAGGAACCCCGCTGCTTCAAGAACGGGGGTTCACCTCTGAAGTACTTCTCGCAGACCAACGCGTGGTCCGACTCCGCGACGTTCCTCAAGTGGTGGCTTGACGTCTTCGTCCCGTTCGTTCGGCGCTTCACTCACGAACCTGTGCTGCTGCTGATGGACGGCTGTTCGTCTCACAGTGATCTAGTGGATGATCGCGGGCAAGTTACCGTCAAGACCTACCCTCCGCTGTGCACCGCCGTACACCAACCCATGGATTTGGGGGTCATCGCCAAGACGAAGGTCAACTACAGGAAGGAGCTGCTCGATGTGAAGACATCAACCATGTTGGTGGCTGACACACTTCGCGCCCAGGCCAAAGCCCGCAAGATGAATGCCGGGACAATGGGGCTAGCGCAAGGGCACCAACCTCACGTGCGGGACGCTGCTGAACTTCTCCAGAAAGCATGGGCCAGCGTCACCGCCCAAGACATCGCCAGGTGAGGTTTGAACATGTGATATCGCTGTTGTAAATGTGTAGCTCGCGCAAGTGCGCATGGCTTTGGTGGTACGTTACTTGAGTAAGGTTGTACGGATAGGTTTTATTTTTCGACTGAATATTCCCGCGACCGCAAATCTCCTTGTTTCTTTGCTAAACAAAGGCCCTCTCTCGCATCCCATGAGACATTGTCACTGGGTTCGTCTAACATCGCTTCTCCACCCAAACACGGATGCATCACAATTTCTGCGCTACCTGGCCAGGTGCTTTGTCAAAGCCGAGACGGTTCCGGAGGAGATGGCGGCTGAGCTCACCAAGCAACACGGAAAGACCCGGTTCAACGTCGCCGAGCCTGACCTGAAGGCTCTCGCAGAGACTGTCAACACGCTGAGCACGAGCGTGCAGGACGCGCAGAAGCAGGGATCCCGCGTCGTGGACGGGGAGATCAGCGAACTGTTGGCAGAACTCAACATCGAACCCGGAAAGCCGGTCGCGGGGGAAGCGATGGCCGCGATTTAGGGGTGGGTTACCATCGAGGACGACGAGGAGGTGGTAGAGGCTCTTCGATTGGACGCGGTGGAAGACATGACAGCACTGCTGGCTGGAACGAACTTGTCTACCGGCGGCGACGACGAGTAGGACGAACAGAACCAGGGCGGCGGCGGTGAGAACACGGGGCGCGAGCGCCGTGCCCCATGTGCGCCACCGGGTTATGAAGAACTGTCGTCTCACTTCGGCGCCCTGGAAGTGGCAGCAGAGGACAGTGGCAACGGAGACGGGGCGTTCTACCTAACGAAAGCGAAGGTGTCGATGATCGCAGCGCATTCCGCTAGGCGGGTGCGCCAGACAGACACTAGAGGATTTGTCGCGACGTAGAGTTCATGGTTGTTTCTTCTTCTTGCGGTTCGCTTCCTGTCGTGTACTTGTAGTTTTTGTTTTTTTTTCTAACAACATCGAAGCGGGTACGCCAGGCAGACACTCCAGTGTCGCGACGTAGNACTAGAGGATTTGTCGCGACGTAGAGTTCATGGTTGTTTCTTCTTCTTGCGGTTCGCTTCCTGTCGTGTACTTGTAGTTTTTGTTTTTTTTTCTTGCAACATCGAAGCGGGTACGCCAGGCAGACACTCCAGTGTCGCGACGTAGTTNGCAAGTAAATATTTTTTACAATTCGCCCTCTGTGTGTGCGACAGGGGGGAACCATACTTGTCGCGAGAAAGGNATTTTTCTGCTTTGTCTTTTGTATCTTGCAACATCGAAGGAGGGGCTCTAGAGCTGAGATGTAGCTACGTCCACTCTGTACGAACGGGAGCTTTACAAGCATCTTGCCGTCAACAGCCGTTTCGACAGTTCGGGGTGTGCAGTACAGTTCATGTGCTGAGGCAGGCAGAAAACAACGGTGCAACATGCAAGTAAATATTTTTTACAATTCGCCCTCTGTGTGTGCGACAGGGGGGAACCATACTTGTCGCGAGAAAGGATGCCTACGCCCACGATAGACCTTCACTACGTTTGATCCATTTCGTACTCTGTTAGCCCCGCAACGCATGAGCGCCAAAGCATGAAATCAAACATCTCATCAATAGTGCCGAATCGGCACTATTGAGGGATATTCGAAACCTCAACAGTGCCGAATCGGCACTATTGAGGCACTATTCTGATTAGTTCCGGTGCCCTCAATAGTGCCGATATTATCTCTGGGCACATACCGGCACTATAGCGGGCCCAGTACTGTATTGAAATGATGTCTGCATGATCGCTGCTGAATTCTTATTTGGTGGAAGATGACGTACTGTTCACAAGCTGCAAAGAGCGTTTCTGAGTAGGTTCTGTACGCTAGCTCTTGTTACACTGGTTCTCTGCCCGTCCAAGCACGTACATGTGTGTATGTCCTTGAGAGGGGTGTGTGTGTGTGTGTACTCATAGTCGTGCATGCCGTAGTCGTTAGACCATTGACCTCGCATCCCTACAAAGCCGGGACGGAGCACGCCGGGTTCTCACCGGACCAGGCTCTCACATCACCAAGCGCGAAGCGCCGTGAGATATTCGGCGAGTCGCATGAAGGGTGCGCTGCATCCTGCTAAGGGTGTTCGGCATCTTGTGCTTACTTCCTTGCGTACGGATGACAGCTGCGTATGAATTAATTTATTTTCTGGTGCTTTCACTTCCAGAGACAGTTGTAAGCACTGTGTAACTGCCTCGAGGGTGCTTGACCATTTCAACACAACGTGGTGCGATCATCCCCCTTGCGCGGAGTGAGGGTTCTCCACCCCGCACAACATGATCTACTCGACCACCACTAAGGTTACCGCCAAAAAAAAAAGAGGTAAAAAAAACCCGGTAACCTGGTTGCCGAGTTCAAAAAGTGAATTGGCTTGTTTTACAAAATCGTTGCCAGGCGACGAAAACCCAATCCCGATGGTGATGGCAAACACCGAGGGGGTGG